TTTTCCTTTTTTATAATTTTTTTTTCAAATCTAAGCCAACTAGAAGATCTCAAAGTGATTCTGACCCCTCCTGGATGAATGAATGTGCAAAACAGAACAGACTTCCACGAATGGTGTTCAGGGCTCCATGAAAATAGGATAGAGTCAACTTCCACGGTATATGGAACATAACCTGAGTTTGATGTGCTCCCTTATATTTCAAAAGATGACATGAATTAGTTTATGCCTTCCCTGATGATCCCCTAAAATTCAGTACCTCTTAACAAGCCTACACAAAACACTGTCATGCCAGTCGATGTGCTTTTTATCCTTGGGTTAGTCAGCTACCACAGTCCCACTGTGGGTCTGAGTAGTTCTTTGTAATGCCATCTTGGTTACTTTCTAGGTGGGATTCCCTCCAGGAGTAGTGAATATAGTTCCGGGCTATGGACCGACAGCAGGAGCAGCTATTTCTTCACATCCTAAAATCGACAAAATAGCCTTCACTGGATCAACAGAGGTATGCTTTCCCTGCCTCTAAATACTGGTGTTTGTCAAAAATGTAATAAAGAAGGATCTGTATGTTCTAAACGATCAGGAGGCTAGATTATTTTCTATGTTAATGTGAAGATGTTTTAGTAGTTTGAAAGTTCCTGATGTATCTCCAAGCTAAGTACAAATCTAAAATATGTTGTTCATTAAAAAATATTCCAATATAGTTCAACCAAGGAACTTCCTCTTCCTTTTTATTTCAATGGAGGTAGCATGGAGCAGGGGAAAGGCTGCTGGATTTGGAATGAAGGGACCTGGATTTGAATTCCAGCTCTGCCATTCACTAGCTTTTTGATGTTGGCCAATTTACTAATCTCTCTGGGCCTCCGTTACCTCATAAAGGTAAAGCTAGGTGACATCTAAGGGTCCTTTCCAACTCTAACCCTATGATCCTGTGATTCTCCAGCCTGAATAAGATGGTAGTATTATGTCTTCTGTTATAGAAATGGAAATGTGCATTTTTAGGTCCTATTTTTATCTAGCCTCATTTCTACCACGTTACAAAAGCTGCAACAGTCCTTCAGTTTCTTTTTTTTTTCCTGATTTTTTTTTTACTTAGGCGGATTTGTTTATGAATGCTTTAATTTACTTGTTTATTTCAAAGCCACAGAATCACTTCAATTTATATTTCTAATAATAGTCTATCTAGGGCAAACATTTAATAGTTAAATTCAACAAGCAATTAATAGTAAGCACGTACCACGTATAGGACATTGTGCTAGGAGTGGAGATGGGCGATGGAGATAAGAACTAGACTTGTAATTTCATTGGAAGAGGGAATTCCCATGTGAAGGGATTCCCTCTGTCAACGCAGGTCAGCACCTGTTCTTCAGTTCATTGCTCAGAGCACTGAGAGGATAAGTGATTTGCCCTAAGTCAAACAGCCAATATATGTGAGAGGTGAGCTTTGAACACAGGTCTTTCTGGCTTTTAGGCCAATTCTCTATCTATTATGCCACACTGTCTCTTACAGGACTGGAGTTACAAAGACAAAATATGAAAAATATTCCCTACTTTCTAATAGCTTACATTATATCCAGGCCTTACAAGTACACACATAAGTAAATACAAGATAACTTGAGAGCAGAGAGATTATCTTGGGGGGGATGAGGAGAATCTTGTGTAGGAGGTAATACCTGAGCCAAGTCTTGAAGGAAGAGAGAGATTCCAATTGGCGGAGGCAAGAAACAAAGACATTCCTTGACTGGAGGACAGCTTATCCAAAGTCATGAAGGTGGGAGAAGGAATGCCGAGTTTGAGGAACAGTGAAGAGGCCATTTTGGCTGGAATGTAGAATGCATAAAGGAGGGTAGTACGAAAGAAATCTGGAAAATTGGGCCGGTGCCAGGTTGGAAAGGGCTTTAAATATGATTCCACTCTGAATTCTCTTCATCTCCTCTAAGAGAAAGAGGAGTATCCAAATGTTTATGAAGGGAGAGAGACAAAGTACGCTAGCTGGTGATGATGGTGGTGTGCAAATGTACTTTTACTGTTTAGTATTTTAAGGTTAAAGGACGAGTTTGGTGATTCATTGCATTGTTTTGTCTCTAGAAGTAAGCTTTGGTCTCTCTGATTCGTTTCTTCTAAGGTGTCACTCTAAGTGCATTCCACTATAAGAACGTACCTAATACCACCCATAAATAATTCCCTTATGCAAGCCGTTTTTCTTTGACTTTTCCTTAGGTAAAAACATCCTCACCTGAGAACTATTCCAGATCTCATTTGGGCCATGATCCATGGGCATGCTGGCATTTAAAATGCAGTTATACGGCTCCCAATCATGATAATAAACTTTTCTTCTTAACAAAGACAAATGTAAACATGACCCAGTTTTGTGCAAACCTACAACCTCGTATTTTATTTAAGTTTTGTTCCTTTCTACTGAAGAAACTGGTTGGGTTAATTGACCTCTTATATTTAGGAGATCACACCTTACTGCTAAGTGCTATATAACTTGGCAAGCATTTCCTTAGAATGACCTCTTCTAACATTAAGACTAGTGATTAAGATAATCAGTAAGCAAGCATTTACCAAATACTTCTTATGTGCCTGGTGCTGGGAATACAAATGCAAAAAACAAAACTATCTCTATTCTCAAGGATCTTATTTCTTTTCTGAGAGAATAAGATAACCGGTTCCTCTACTCCTAGTTGTTTAGTCTGTATTTTCTATTTACCATGGCAGATTGGAAACCCCTTTTCTTGAAAATATGCTTAAATATAAACAGGATATGAGAGTTGAATAATCTAAGTCATTTGTCTTGGACAGGCTTATTGCGTGGTTTTTGCCTTTTTAAAAAAACTTATTCTACTTTTTTTTCTCTTGTTTTTGTGTTCAGATGCCTTCATCATTCACAAATACAAGTGTTCCTTCACTTAGTATTCTGTGATTTACTTGTTTCTCTTCAGGCTTTGGGTATTATTTATCCTAAATTTTAGCTACCATTATTAACTAGCCCACTATGATGGTCTTTCCAGGCACAAATACACAAAACCAGTTCTTTGCATATGTGAAGACAGGAGACTGCCTGCATGGGTGATTCTTTTTAATGCAATCTTTGTATCCGTCTAGGTGAGATTTCCTTCAGGACCCTGCCACCAGCTTGCCTGAAATTCCCACCTCAGACTCAATGAATCTCAGAGTTTAAAGAGCCTTTAAAGGTCATCTAATCTAACCCAGTCCTGAAAAAAAAAATCCTCTATAATATATCTAACAATAGCCATCCAGCATTTACCTGTAGACCTCCCATAAGGGGAATCTCTCTACCTTGGAGGCAGGTCATTTAACCTTTGGATAGCTCCGATCCTAGAAATGTCTTCCTTATAACAAGCTTAAATTTGCCTCTCTACAACTTCCACTATTTCACTAAGGTCTCAGTTCTGATCTCTGGGGTCAAGCAGAGTAAGTCTACTAATTTTTCACAAGACAGCCCTTCAAAACTATGACTCATTCCATTTTTATTATTTATGTTCACTTGTTTTTGACTCTTTGTGATGCCACTTGGGATTTTCTTGGGAAAGATACTGGAGTGGCTTTCCATCTCCTCCTCTAGCTCATTTTACAGATGAGGAAACTGAGGCAAACAGGGTTAAGTGACTTGCCTAGGGTCACATACCTAGTAAGCCTATGAGGCCTGATTTGAACTTGGGAAGATGAGTCTTCTGACTCCAGATCTAGCACTCTGTCCACTGCATCACCTAAGCTGCCTTACTCATTCCATTGTGTTAAAGCATTACTTCCTAATAGCTTTGTTTTTAATCTAGAAGTAAGAGGGCTGAAACATTAGTTCTTATGAACACTTTAGTGAACAGAGAACAAGGTCCTGAGGGAAGAGGATAGATAGGACAGGTAAGTTTTGATGGAGGGGTCAGGAAGAGGTATTTGAAAAGGAACCTCAACTTTGGGACAGTGATGAATCCCAGACTGGCATCAGCGAAGCATGAGTACGTAGTATTTATTGTTAAGATTTTGAGGTTCTTCATCCTGGTTGTCTCCATCTGGATATGTTCTAGCTTGTGTAGATCTTTTCTAAAATATAGTGCCCCAAACAGAACACAGCACTACAGATGTGCTCTGACCAGGGCAGAATATAGTTAGGCTATAATAATAACTAACATATAGAGCTGTAAAATTGTCAGTGGGCTTTATACGTATTATCTTATTTGATCTTCACAAGAACACTGTGAGGTCACTGCTACCACCATCCCCATTTTACACATGAGAAAACAGACTGCTAGAGGTTAAGGGACTTATCTAGGTTCACACAGCTAGTACATTTTTGAGGCAAGATTTGAATTCAGATCTTCCTGACTAATTCCATTTCTATACCCACTTCACTCTCTAATTGCAGCCTACAATTGCATTAGCTCTGGGGGGCTGCCATGTTACTCATGTTCCTCTATAAAGCCTCTCGTTTCCTCCATTACTCTCTGGTAATGCTGAGACCAGTCTAAACTTGTCCTTTTCAATTTCAGGTTGGAAAGCTCATCAAAGAAGCTGCTTCTAAAAGTAATCTAAAAAGAGTAACTTTAGAGCTTGGAGGGAAAAATCCATGTATTGTTTGTGCTGATGCTGACTGTGAGTATCTTTTGGACTCCAAAGTCTTTGAGTTTTTCCCAATGGTATTTTTCTTTCTTAAGGAAGGATAGGTTTTTTTTTTTAATATTGTACCTGTTAGGTCAGATCTGAATTTGAGCATTTCCTAGTTACAATAGCCCTTTAGATCTGTTAGGTGAATGAGAGTCCCTCAGAGTCTGGGTGGTAAGCTAGGCCTCATCCCCAGTCGACTTTCTACAACTATTAGGTGAACTGTGTGACAGTCATGATAGTGATAACTCATTTATACAGCACTTTATAGTTTATATAGAGCCTCTTCCTGATCCCTGATAACCCGGTAAAGTTACTAGAGCAAGCAATGCAGATGAGGAAACAGGTGAGAGTGTCTTGCCTGTGGTCGAATGGCTACTTACATGTACGAAGCAGGATTTGAACCAAGGTCAGCACCCTCTACTTTGTCACGTTGTCACTTCCATCATAGAGGTCTGTTTGCCAGGCACTACGCCCTGTTGGCAGCACCTAAACAACATATCAGTGTGGGAGTCAAAAAGGGAAAATAGAAAAGCACCATGGAACTTTTACAATTCTTTGAAAGGTCAACATAGTTTCCTTTGCCTTCATGGGGTGGTTTTGGGAGAATGGGGAGGCCATCAGCCTCCCAGAGCCTACTCCCTCTGTTCACTGAAGCCAGAAATTACTTTACCGGGGGATAAAGGCTTTTATTCCATGATTAGAGATAAGGTTTGAAATGCAAATACCCTTGGGAGAGTTATCACACTGACTTCTGACTCAGTGTTGTGTAACTGGCTGATATCAGATCCTTTTCAGAGAGAAGATTTTGGTAGAAGGAAAGACACTTGGTAGGTAAGGGGAACGAGGCACCACAGGAGACAGGAGAGGGTGCAGAAGGGGGAAGCTGGGAGGAGTGGAGATAAATTTTGCTTGGAGTCAGCCCTGCAGCTTGTAATAGCAGCCATCCTTGCTGATGTTTCTATATCCACATAGGACAGCCCTCAACTTTCTTTCATTTACCTGTAGCTCAAAAATTGAAGTATAGAAGTGAAAGTCAACAGGAGTCTTACTTCAGGTGCATTAATCTCAGCTTTTCCTTTCTCTACTAAACTTAACACACAGGGCATATCCACTTCCCCCACCTCCCCACTGGTAGGGGAAGGGAAAGCAGTCATACACATGCCGGCTATCTGTCAGACTCTTTTGTCTGTGAAATTCCATATAATTAATTCTTGACATAATTGGAATCTCAGGCATGATATAAGCTAAAAAATACCAGAGTAGACTTAACCCCCTCTTCTCCTCCACCCCTACCCCAGCTTCTCTCAAAAGCAGGAATTCGTTACATTAGAAGGAGGGCATTTCAATTTGACTTAGGGGCCTGCAGAAGGGTGCTGTTTGCATGTTCAGAGGCTCCTAAATGCAGTTCTGGAGCTATGCTGCTCCATGGAAACTTTCTGAGCTTCGTTTTTTCAAGTTAAAGAGGGCAGACTCTGTACTTCTGACTAGAGAGGAATTGAGTCCTCAGAACATCTGGTCCCATTTCTCCATTGAGAAACCAGGAAATTATCTGTGCCACTTTGGCATTTTACCATTGAAGACTTTCCTAAGCAAAGTAATTGTGTTTTAAAACAAAGATTAAGGGGAACATTTATTTAAATGGTTTTTAGCTACATTAGAAATATTGGATTGCATACAAATAATATACCAGTTCTCATTATTATCTCCTAAAGCAAGTCCTCTAAAGATCTCTCTCCTATGTAGTTCAATATAACAAACATTAATGAAGGGTCTGATGTATAGAGAGCAGCTTCCTGTCTTTTAATTAGATACAATGCTTAGATAAGACATGACATCTGCTCTTATGGGGCTTACAGTTGAGGCAGCAGTTTGCTACAGTTCATTGGATCACAGATTCTCTTTCCTTCTCCCTCTTCTTCTTCTTCTCTGTCTCTCTCATATTATTTTTCTGGGCTTTTTTTTTTTTAAGTGGATTTGGCAGTAGAGTGTGCCCATCAGGGAGTGTTCTTTAACCAAGGCCAATGCTGCACAGCTGCTTCCCGAGTGTTTGTGGAAGAACAGATCTACCCTGAATTTGTCAAGCGGAGCGTGGAGTATGCCAAGAAGAGACTCGTTGGAGACCCATTTGATGTCAAGACTGAACAAGGGCCACAGGTACTTTTATCTGTTTGTGTCTACTTTCTCTTTCAACGGATGAGGACTACTCAGAAGAGACAATGAGGCTCTGACTTTTATTAAGAATCCAGTCGCCTACATTGTCTACACAAGAAGTTTTTAACTGAAGGTTCATGAACATGATTTTAAAAAATAATAATATATGTGTATAACTGTACTTCAATATACCTGGTTTCCTTTGTAATCCTGTGTATTTCATTTAATGCATTTAAAAACATTATCCTAATAAGAGATTCATCAACCTCGACAGTCCACACAAGTGGTCTGTTGCACAAAAACAGATGAAGAATCCTTGGTCTACAATTGGGTTTTGAGAATAGTTTCACTTACATCACAAAGTGTAGATGGAACGGAGATCCTCCCAGTGCCCTTGGGTTGTTTGACTGCTAACTTCTCCATAACCTCTCCTTTTTGAGACTCTTTCTGTTTTCCAGATTACATATGGGGGAACACCTTGACTAGATATTCCTCTGTCTTTAACATACCCTAGAGTGTTTGATTATCACCGAGTGAAAAGGTCTGGTAGTCCTCTATTTTTTTTAAAAAAAGAAGAGTTTGCTCCTTCTAGCTTAGACCTTCAGCAGGAGGTAGCAGCAGCTAGTCCAGGACAGGGAGTGTCACCAGGGAGCAGAAAATAATTTGAGCCGTGATGAATTGTCAGGGTGCACAGTGAATATGTGAAACTATAAGTAAGGCATCTGAAGGCTTTCCCATTGTTCTGAATGTTCCCTGATGAGCAGGAAGACTCATTAGTGAACACGTCTCTGAAGGATTTATTTACAGGGTTGAGAAGAGGAGATGACTAACGACTAGGTTTAATAAGCTCTTCTGTGGTCTGTATCCTGTCTCACCTTCTTGCTGTTATAAAGCAGAGTAGACGGATAAATATTTAAGGGATAGCAGACTGGCCATTCCAAGTATTATTGAGATGGAACCGACCTTACCAACAACAGCCTGATTTGTCTTCTGTTTAGCCTCTCACTACCAACCAGCTGGGGAGTGAGAAATCATGGGTAAATGTTTATTAGAAGCAGGCCACATCCAAACAAAAATGAGGAGTCACCAGCCTACAAACAGTTCTGGGGAACTTCTCTGACAAAAAAAAATTTTAAAGTCCAAGGACCAGAATCTCCTAAGTGATCCCCTCAAGTCCAGGACTGAGGTAATAAGGGTAAATGAGCACTTTACAAACATTATCTCTTTTATCCTCACAACACCCCTGTAAAGTTGGTGCTGTTATTGTCCCCATGTTACAGCTGTGGAAACTGGGGCAGATAGAGGTTAAGTGGTTAGCCCATGGTCACACAGCTACTAAGTGTGTCTGAGGAAGGATTTGAACTCAGGTCTTCATGACTTCAGGGCCAGTATTCTATCCTTTGTGCCACCTAGCTGCCTATGAGAATAATATCTATTCTGAGAATCTCAAAATTGAAAGAAACCATGTAGGGCTAACCAAAAATCCTTTCTACAAGATCCCCCAAAAGTGATCATCCAATCCTTATTTGAAGACTGGAAGTGAGGGAGTACCCACTATTTCTTAAAGCAGCCCATTCCTCTTTCAAATAGCTCTATCGTTCAGTCAACAAAGTTTTTGAAACACCTGCTATGTGCCAGGCACTGTACTATGTCCTAGGGTTACCAAGCTAAAAATGATTTCATTTCTGCCCTCGAGGAGCCTGGGTTCTGTTGGGAGGAACAGTGTGTACACATATAGGTATAATTTCTTTTTTTAAAAAAAAAAAGGTACTGGGGGGCAGTTAGGTGGTGCAGTGGATAGAGCACCAGCCCTGAAGTCATGAGGACCTGAGTTCAAATCCGGCCTCAGACCAAACACTTGACACTTACTAGCTGTGTGACCCTGGGCAAGTCACTTAACCCCAATTACCTAAAAAAAAAGAAAAGAAAAAAAAAGGTACCAGGTGATTTGAAGGAAAAGACACCAGCAGCTGAGATTAGGAAAGGCTTCGTGTAGTCTATGTTTGAGATGAGCCTTGAAAGAAGTTAAGGATTCTCAGGAGCATTGGGAAGGAGGAAGTGCATTTCAGGCATTGGGGACAACCAGTGCAAAGGCATGAAGGTGAGAAAGAAGGCACTATATTTAACAGCCTAATTATAAGATCAAAGAAACTCAAAATTAGAAGGAACTTCAGAGTCCGGCTGGTGTAATATGCACACCTGAATGAGACCTCTCTGGGGTAAAACTGAAGACTAACAAGTCCTTATCCTATCTCTGCTTGAAGAATTCCAGTGGGGAAGAATCCACTACGTCTTGAGGCAGTTCATTCCACTTTGTAACAGCTCAAATGACTAGGAAGCTTTCCTTTACATCCCCTAAAATATTGATTCTATGTGACTCCTACCCCCCCCCCCGACCCAGTCCCTGGTTTTGCTCTGGGACCAAGCAGAGTAAATCGAATCCCTTTTCCATAAGCTGCTGTTGTTGAGTTGTTTTAGTTGTGTCTGACTGTTTGTGACCCAGTTTGGGGTCTTCTTGGCAAAGATACTGGAGTGGTTTGCCATTTCCTTCTCCAGCTCATTTTATAGATGAGGAAACGGAGGCAAACAGGGTTAAGTGACCTGCCCAGGATCCCACAGCTAGTAAGTATCTGAGGCCAGATTTGAATTCTGGAAGATGTCTTTTCTGACTCCAGATCCGGCACCTTATCCACTGCACCACCTAGCTGCTCTTTTCCCACATGACAGCCCTTCAAATACTTTGAGACAATTAATATGCCCCTTAAGTCTTTTTTCTTTCAGGCTAAATGTTCGGTTATGTTCAAAATTTATTAAGCATCTACTACATACAAGGATTGCTTTATGTTCTAATGAAACAAAATAGTAACTGCCCTCAAGGGGCTTATCTTCTATTGGGGATGTATCTATATAAGAACATAAATATAAAGTCCTTGTAAAATATTTTCTAAGAGGTAGAGAGTGCTAATAATTAGAAATCAAGAAAAGTCTCATTTTGAAGGAAGGTATTCTTTGAGGTGGAAATGAAGAGGAGTATATTCCAGAGGTGGAGAACCACTTTTGCAAAGCAGGAGATAGTGAGTATCTAGCAGACCCATTTGATGGGGATGCAGAATGTGTGAGGGAGAGGAATGAGAAATAAGATTGAAAAGGCAGATGGGAGCCAACTTATAAGGAGCTTCGAACGTCAGGCTGGGGGCTTTGTAATTTATGTCAGTGGCAATAGGGAGCTACTGAAATTTAGGAAGTAGGTAGGTATATGGTCGATCTGTGTTTTAGGAATATCCATTTGGAAGCAGTGTGGAGGCTTGTTTGGAGAGGGAAGAAACTGGAGTTAG